AGAATACCAAATACAATCAGTATAGTCAGCCTACCTAATCTAGTTACTAATTACCTCCTTGAATAAGGTGTCAGCTATGTCAAAACTAGTGCAAGATGTTGAAGGCTTGTTTATTGCCACCCCCACTGCTCTCTGATGGTAATTTGGACCTCCCCCATCCCAGTACTGTGGGACCCTGGACTTTGTCCCAAGCTCTAGCCCTAGATGCCCCCTTCCTTGACACTCTTGGGCAAAGCTCTGTAGGACAGGACCCAAAGAAATATGGCAAATCTATCAATGGATTGACTGCATAGAATTGCAAACCCTCCATTTTTGCTGGAGAAACCAAGGAAATTCTAGTCTGTGTACCGTATGGCATTTCTTTCTTCTGCTGAAAACAATAGAGGATGGAGGACAGAGCAAAATTGCAAATGAAACAGATTTAGCTAGGACTTACCTGGCTTATTGTTTTGTGATAATATTAACTATATTGATAGGGAAATGTACATCTTCCCACTTGTCTTGTGTATGAAGTTATAGATGAGGTTTGTTTTTTAGCATGAGAAACTGTTCTGTACCACAAAGAATGGAATGAGTTGCTTTGGAGCCTGGTTACTATAATCTGGATAAATATATCTGCTGATGCTTTTATGAACATGGGCAAAGGAGGACAGTAACATTTCATTACAAAGAGCAGCCAAAGGAAATCAGAGCCGATATTGATTTCTGAGTAAATTTGTAATAGAAAGTGCTCCAATACCTGTTATGGACAAACAAGGAGAGTTCACTTCCACATTATTTCCTGCTACATTATAAGTCAATCCCTTAACAATGGAAAGGAGCTATGAAATAACTTTGTGCAGATAAATATGTGGTATAAAAGAAGTAGGACTATTTGGGGAAGCACATTACACTGCATGCATTTTTTTTTAGATCCAAAGCTTGATTGGTGAGCAGATTTAAGTCTCTATTTTTACGCCAGAACCTGGTGAACAAGGCCTACAGAACTGAAGAACTGAGTATTCCTGAAAGATTTGGCATTCAGTACCATATATCTGGTATTATCAGGGTTGATTTTGTAAAGCATTTGAAGTAAAATCCAAAGATTATAGTTCTTTGAGGTAGAAAACAAATTACTTGAAGAATACATGATCTGATATCTGAAATTTGCTTTGCAGGAGCATCAGTGTGATGATGTGTCAAACCTATCTTTTAAACAAGATCATAACATGCAGACCAAACAGATCCGCGCATCTCTTTGGAATCTAGCTTATAATGGGTTAAAAATGCGAGAATGGACAAAACTGGCACAGTTTTGGAAGTTTACAGATGAACAAATCAAAGCAATAGAAGAACAGTGGACAGGTAATTTACTGAATTAAAAACCCAGCGTTCTCTTTCCAAACACAGGAAAGTTAACTAAAATCCAACACATTACTTCTGAATTATATAGAATTCTCTCTATATAAATCTCACTCCTTCCTGTGTTTTTTAAAAAAATGGGGTGGGAAGAGAAATCAGAATAAAATAACTATTGGATATTTTTGCAAATGTTGAGAGTTGTTTCCAAGCTAACATAGAAAAATTAATAATTTATGTGTGTGCTTAAAGAAAAACAAAGCATACTTTCATTGCAGTATGTTCGATGTGCTAATCTTGGCAGAGAGTAGGTCTTAAGATGCAATAAAATCCCCCTACTTTCAGTTTGAATATGAGACTATAGCTTTTATTTTGTGAAGTTTCTCAAACAGTACGTTAAAGGTGTATATTGTCACATAGGCCAGTCAAAATGCAAGACATTAAAAATAAAAATGGTGGACTTAGGGCCCACCTTTATGAGCTTCATCACTATCCCAGCTGCAGTCTCCAATATATATTATTATAGGCACCTATCTCAATATTTACATTCCTTCAGAATAGATAAATAAAAGGTGTTTTGGAAATTGACAAAGATTCTTTTAATGCTTGCTGCTGTAGCCAAACAAGACTGGCTAAGTTGTTCCCTTTATAAAAAGCTTTTCCTGCCAGAAGCTCTCTTGTACACAACTATTAATAAGTGCAGCTCTTATATTTTGCATTTGATCAGCCAATTATGTTCAAAGATACCTAACATGGTTTCATCTGTCCCTTCTTACCCGTTTGGTCTTCAGTAATACTTGAATTCTAGCTAAAACAAATACAGTAAAAGATTAGAGGACTGGGAAACAATTATATCCCTTCATCAGGATTTCATAAATGCCCATTTAGTATACAGGTAATCCTTGACTTACGACCACTCATTTAATGACAGTTTGAATTTACAACAGCGCTGAAAAAAGTGACTTATGACTGGTCCTTGCAGTTATGACTGTTGCAGCGTCCCCACAGTCACATGATCAAAATTCAGGCACTTGGCAACTGGCATGTATTTACAGTGGTTACAATGTCCTGGGGTCATGTGATCACCATTTGCAACCTTCCCAGGGGGCTTCCAACAAGCAAAATCAATGGGGAAAGCCAGATTTGCTTAATGGCTGCACAATTCACTTAACAATCATGGCAAAAAGGTAATAAAATAGGGCCCGACTTACTTAACAACATCACTTAGCAACAGAAGTTCCAGTCCCAATTGTGGTTGTAAGTCAAGAACTACCTGTACATGGAATAGGAAGGAGCCTTGTTCCATTAGACTAAGTGAAAAATTAGTTTTTTAATTTGTTACTCTTTACTATTGCGGATTGGACTGGGCCTGGAATATAAAATAAACACTATAAAGGAACATTCTTCCCTTACTCTTGAACATCTAAGGAGCAATCTCCATTGATAGAGGAAAAACAGACATACAAGGCGTCTTCATCCTTTGAGTATGGTCTAAAATAAGCTTGTTTGCACTCCAACTGATTGTTCTTTCAGCACCTGTTCTCACTGATTCCCCATACCAGCTTGAGCCTGCCCATATTTTATTTGTATCTTGAGAGGAGAGGGTTGGGGATAATGGATTAGGGAGGGATATTTTTTGTGACAGGGCATATACTCTGAAATGATCTTTCAAAGGAGATTCAACTGGCATCACAGTAGTTCTCTCTTTAACATAAGAATAAAATGTTTTGATTGCCTTGGAATTTTGTTTATATGGTGATGTCTTTTGTACATCTTTCAGATGGTTGAATTATTCTGTCCCATTCAGTTTTATGGCATAGCTCAGATGCTTATTCCATTATATTATTGACATTTTAAACTTTATATGCTGCCCTGGAGCATACTTTTTGGGATGAAAAATAGCCATTTTGTTTTGTTTCTCTAGAGCACTGAAAATACTTAGATAAGAGGAGTGGGGCAATAAACCCCCTCCCAAATGCATATCCAACTGTGGGTGGACATGCCCATGCTACCGAAAGGAAGCGTTTATTGTGGCACAGTGCAGCTGCTTCTGAGATAGATGTTATCTGTAAAGTTCCCTGGATGTTACATGGGAGATCCAAAGATTAAAAAAAAAAAAAATCAAGCGATTTAACAAACAACAGATCAGGAAAGGCTACTTAATCCTTTCCATTCCTGTTATTTTCTCAAAATCATACAGGCCAAAGCTATTGCCTCACCTGTGGAGAGAAAGATACAGAACCTCCATAACTTTCATCCTAGATAGCAAAAACAACTCGGGAAGTGACATTTTGACTGTGCTAATCGAGTGGCGCTGAAGGGGGCTGAATAACAGTCTCCTACAACAACTTTTTAGTATTAAAAAAGACTATTGTCATCAGATTTTTGTTTATGTCTCATTCATGTAACATCTACCTCAACAGTACCTCTACCTCTATGTATTTGCAAACTGCTGCTGAAAAGACATTTCTATATATGCAGTAGATCTCTTCATGTTTCCCCTTAAGAATTCGTGAAGGGAGCAAAAGAGGTTAATAGGCCTGTTCTTCATTATGCTCTACCCCTACCAATCTCTTCCACCTTCCATTTCCAACAAAAAAGCTTAAGAATCTAGGCAAACACTTTTGAAACAGATCTTTGCAGCCAAAAATGTGACATAGAAACATTTTCTCCAAACAGTAGGCTAACATTTTGTATAACATTTTCCTCTAGGGAAAAAGAGCTACAAGGAACATGGACACAGAATGTTTCTAATCTGGTTACATGGTGTTCTCATGGCTGGCCAGAATCCCATTAAACACTTATATGAGGATCTGGTGAGCGGGGGATTTCAGCAACTGGCTGGTGAGCAATTGTTGTAAACATCACTTAGATCCTGTTAGAGTGCTTCTCCTTTCCCTTCTGGGAAAGATTCAGGACAAAGTTAGATTACAGAGAGCTGATTTACAAAGATGCTCTTACCTGAAAGGGTCTTCAAGCAACACCTCCTAGGGAGAAGCCCCTTCAAAACACTTGAAGCAGCTTCTTTCCAGGAGCCAAATGACTTCATTCACCTGGCTCTTATTCTCCAGTCCTGTTCCAGCAGAATAGATTGCTGTGGTAAAAGCGGGGAGGTTCCATACTTCAGACAGGGAAAGAGTCTAGATTGTTAAAAGCTTTGTATTTCTAGCAGAGTTTTCAGGGAATTCCTCATGTAGTTGTTTTAACCTAACGCTCTGCCTACGTATTGTAGATAATAGATTCTTGTAGCAAAAAGGGAACAAACTGTACTCACTGGGCAGGGAATGAGGAGGAAGAGAGCAACTTCCAATCAGGTGTTGGACCAGGAGTAAGAAGACCCAGGTTCTAGTCCACCCTGAGCTATGAAAGCTGACTGGGTGACTTGGGACCAGTCACTTTCTCAGCCCAACCTACCCTACAGGGTTGTTGTTGTGGGGGAAAATAGGAGGAGAGAGCACTGTGTATGCTGCCTGAATGAAAGGTGGGATATAAATCAAATACTTAAATGGGGAGGCAATCCAGGGAGGGAGAACATGCTCTTTTAACCAAAAAAAGAAAAACAATATGCTACACAAGCGTGCTGGACAGGGAGAAGTATAATCAAAATTTTTAAAAAATAAAACAAGGACCTGCAAATATAATTATGGATGTATGAATGCATTTCTAGGCAAAATCCACACTCAGTGAGTTTGATAGAATTATTTCTATGTAAGCACAGAATTGCAACTTAAAAGTCTGTTGACTTTATAAGCATGTAAGAGACAAAGTGGCAGTAAGCCAGTCAATATATCCAACTTCTTAGTAAAAGCAAGAAGCCAGTTTTATTTTGAAAGGGGTTTATTTCAACTTCATGAATCTGTAATAAAATTAGTCTCATTTTAAGTAACTACACTTTTTTGTTTAAAGTTGCACAGATGGTTGAGTGGCTACTAAAATTTGTATGTTAATTATGCCTGAACCTATTCACACCTGAAAAAGATTAAAGGCATGTTGTGTTTTCTGAATTCTAACAAGAGTATTTCCTCTTACAGAAAAGTTCAGAGCAGAAAATAATGCTGGCACAGAATCCAAGAAATGTTCAGTTTCATGAAATTCAAGGGAATTTGAAACAATGACATGGAATAATAAATGAATATTAAAATATTATTTACAAACAAATGCTCCAATGTTTCCCTATAAAGAAAGCCCTGAACATCTTCTCATCACTTCTGCAATATATCCCACCCCATCAACTTTGCAGCCCCACCCAACCAGGACTTCTCAACCTCCATTGACTCTTTCCAATCCCACTTCACCAGTCAGAATTCTCCAGCTTACCAATTCCGTTTTTTTAAATCTTGGGTGGCTGTACCCCAAATTTTTTTGTCCTGCAAAATAGGAGTGACCTAGATTTGGCAATTGCATTTGGAGCTGGAAGAAAGGATATGGGGTTATATGAGTTCTTAGATACCAAAAGCAGTGGGGAAATGAACATAGTAATGGCTGGAAGTTTGCTTGAAAACAATTTTAGTCAGTAGTGGGTTATTTTTTTTCTGTGTATGGCTGAGGGTCTCCTATGGGAGTCCACTTGCACCTGAGGGCACATTTTCAATCCTGCCATACAACATGCAGATAGTGCTCTTTCAGTTTATTTTTCTGCAGAATCAAAGAAATATTTTCCTCAGACAAGATAGTTACATTGCTTCTACAAATATACTTCTAAAAATCTTTGATATTTTAAATAAAATATTTTCCAAGAACAGTTGTGTGGAAACAATAGCACATTAGATTATGAACAAAACAAATGAAGTAGGATTTAAAGGGCTATACAAACTCTTTTGTCTCCAAGCACTTTCATCTCATAACCAAATCCTTTTGACTTTCTTTATATTTGAGACCCTTTGAGGTAGAAATCTGACAGGAAAATATGCACACAGCAGTGCCAAGTACAAAACTGCTACCTTGGATCTAAGGTGGTAATTATAAGATATTTAAATTGTAATCCTAAACATATTTCTTTGGTAATAAAGTTATATAGAAATAATGCATGAGTAGAGAATTAGAAACCAAAAAGCAAAAGACTAATAAATCTGGTTGGATGGTAGTGATGAGGTCCTGAGAAAGATATAAGAACTTTAAAGAACAAAAAGCAGTATGAATCAGTGGATGGGTGTGGTAGAAACAAAGCTGGTGTGCAAGGACAGAAAATAGGAAAAGCATAGTGATGGTGTTGGTGTAAACTAGATTTAGTTAGTTTATTTTTCACTTATTTTCTGCCTCCATCTGCTTTTGCTTACTATTTATTCCTTTTGAGTACTTGTTTACCCCAAATGGGAATATCATGATGTGTATATATGTATGAAGAAGGTAGTGGTAAAGCACTTCCATACTGTTGTCATGGATGTGTCCATATAGTAACCAGGAGCCAAGCTCAACCTGAGGCAGACCTTGCCTTTATATTAGGAATCTGATGCAAATAAATAGACTATTTACTTTGTTAGTGTAAATTTAAACCACATTTGCCCCTTTAGCAATAGTTATTGCACGTAACAAAAAAAGCTTCTAAACAAATATGGTTTGGGCCTGAGCCTACACACCCACGGTACAGCTGCAGCCATCCAGATTTGAAGGAGAAAAAGTGATTTGGAGCACACGGGCTGTTCGTGTAACAACTTCAGCAATGCCTTAAAGAAGCTATGTCTTTTGTTAGGATGTAAAAGATGCATCTGAAGTGCTAACATGGCTAAATGCACCTCCCATCACCTTTTCCTTTTCAAATCTGAATCACTACACAGCCCAATCCCTAGTATATTACTTGTCTGACCACTTCCAACACCTGTTTTACTACTTAAGCTCCTGCATCCATTTTACAAACCTAGATCATCGCTTTATGCTGCAGTTAGTCATTTAGTAGTAGGCATACAAGTGGTGTACACCTAAGAGTTCTGTCTAACATTACCTTAGGGGGAAGCAAGTTGCTATAGCAGGTTGTCTTCCCCTGTTGGTACTCCTATTTGACCACAAGGGTGGGCAATATGGGTGGAAAAATCCTAGAAACAGCTCTCGTATTGGTGAGGTCTAGTTAATAAAGCACCATTAGCACACCAAAGTCACTGCTTTCTTCCACGCTGCCTCTTTTTCTTCTTTCTAAGCATTGACATCAGTTCCCACATTCCTTTATGCATTACTTCCTACTGTGGTCTCCTTATAGTAGCATAAGAGATAGCAAGAATGGAAAAGTATACGGAGCTACAAGAAGATGAAACCCATGAACATGAAATTGTCAAGTCTTCATTGTTCCCACCGCAAATTGCAATGGAAAATCAGAAAAAAATTACCAGCATGGAGAAGACTCACAGCTTTGCTATTTTACATAAAATGCTGGTATTTATTTCTTCATCCACATTTAAGGTAGAATATAATGTCACATCTCTCCCCCCCCCCCCGATTTTTTCCCCATCTTTAAAAATACACTGGGGGGTTTTTTTGAAA